GAGAGAGAGAGAGAGAGAGAGAGAGAGAGAGAGAGAGAGAGAGAGAGAGAGAGAGAGAGACAGAGAGAGAGACGAATCAGCCGCGACGAAGACGTTACCACGGCGTGCGCTCGTGCGCGTGAGCGAGCGAGCGAGAGAGAGAGAGAGAGAGAGAGATAGAGATAGAGAGAGAGAGAGATCGAACGGCGGGGTCCTTCGTACGTACGGTCCGTACGCGCGTACGTACAGCACGTACGGCTTGTATGCATGTACGTACGTCGCGTACGCTTAAACGTGTCGCGTAGAGGGGGAGACCGTTCCGCGCGCGCTGCGGGCCGGGGCTTGCGTCGCTGGGCTCGGGGCGTGCTGGGGACTGGCAGGCAGGCCTGCTGGCAACAACGGAGGGGGACTTCGGGGGATTGGCAGGCAGGCCTGCTGGCAACAACGAGGGGCACTTCGGGAGGGGGGCCACTGCACGGGGGTTGCCGCGAGAGAGGTCAGTCCACGACGGCGGTTTGTTCGGGCATCGAGCAAGATGCCGCCCAAGCGTCGGTGAACATATGGAGAATTCATCCTTGTTAACAGAGACAGGCAGAGAGATGCAGAGTTGAAGTTCGTTGGTTTCAAATGGATGCAGAAGGGCCAGAGGCTGCCAGGGCGGAATGGGAACTTCGTCATGAAGTGCAAGCTGTGTGACCAGGAATTCGTCGGAAGTCAGAGCAAGTGCGCGTTGCACTACACAATCAAGAACAACTGCCCACAAGCCATGTTGGATGTTTTGGCTGAGATCTGGAACAAAAGTGCTTACCACTTTGATCAAAGGCATTGGAAGAAGATACATGCGTACCTTGCGGAGAGGGGGTGGGCAGACAAGAGACGAGAACATGGTCAACAAGGGGGAGACTCGGGAGAGGAAGACGAAGATGACCCTGAGCGAGTGGCGGAGGAAGAGAACGAGCAGGCTGGAAGGGAGTGTGAGGCGCTTGAGAGTGGAGGTGTCCAGGGTGGTCGTCGGGCTAACGACGACAGGTCTGCAGAGGTTTCGATCGATGTTGAGAGGGAGGCGGAGCGTGACCGCGGAGCGTTGAGGGGAGATAAGAGAGCGGTCACTGGCATTGGGACGTCGACGAAGAGGAGGACTTCTTCGCAGCCCCTTCCGCCGACAGGAGCCGCGAAGAAGTTTCGTCAGTTGCGCATGGAATCGTTCGACCCTAAATGGAAGCAGGACCTGGACACCTATTTCCTGCAGTGGTTCTATGTTAGCGGCATCCCGTTTCACGCGGCGGGGAGGCCAGAGTACAACACCTTCAGGAGGCACCTCGCGACATGCCCCCCTCGAGTGCATCCGACTCTGCCCAACCATCGTCGCATCTCTGGTGATGGTATTGTGCAGCAGCACAAGGACGTTGCGGAGAGGCTCGCGACGCTGAGGAGAGATGTCGCGGCGATAGGAGCGACCATCCTCACGGACGGTCGCAAATCCATCACTGCTGATCAGATAGTCAACTTTTTGGCAGCCGGGTCTTCGGGGGCGTACCTATTGAGGACAGTGCAGAGCGACGGTGCTGAGCAGGACACTACGACGGTGGTTGTGAGGCGGTGGAAGAAGGTGTTTAATGACTTCGGCCTCGAAAATGTGAATGCTATTTGTACGGACTCTGCAGGGACATACGTCGCAGCCGCGAAGCTCCTTGCGCAGGACAAGGATCTTCGATACAGTCGCATCACTTGGCTCCCGTGTGCGGTGCATGTCTGCAACCTGATGTTGTCGGACATTGGGAAGGATGAATGAGATGGTGTCGTTGGACACAAGGAGGACACGATCACCAGAGCGAGGGCTGTCGTGCGATTCATTCGGTCACACGGGGCCGCCCTCGCCCTTTTCAGGCGATTCTCCGCACGTCACACCGCCAAAGGGCAGACAGCCCGTCGTCGGCTTCTAGCGCCACCTCTGGTCGCGGTCAGGAGCTCATTTACTCAGTGCAGACCAGATTCGCTACACATTACCTGATGTTGGAGCGGCTGTTGGAGTGACGTCACGCGCTCGAGGAGATGATGATCAGCGACGAAAGGTTGCAACAGCCGTGGAGACAGAGCTTGTGGCTTCAGTCGAGTTGGGTGCGGCAGCAGATCAGATTCGCTGCGTTTTGGGAGGATGTAGAGGCCATTGTGGAGTTGATGACACCTGTCATGCAGTTGTTGCGCAGACTCGACCGTGGGGGGCGTGTGATGTCGAGCTTGTGGTCATGGTCGAAGAGGGTCATTCAGAGGGTTGCACAGGCGCCTACCCGACGCACCAGCCGTGCAGAGTTGGACACCCTTGTCAGAGGTTTGCAGGCGCGGAGGAGGCATATGTTGGAGCCTGCTCATTGCATGTCCCATCTGCTTAACCCACGACACAAAAGTATTGCATACTTTGAGGGGGCATGCAGGACAGACCACGAGAGGGAGTTGGCAGAGGAGGCTGACATTTACCTTCGTCAGCAGACAGGACCGGACAGACAGCTATACCAGGATTTCAGGATAGCTTTGAGGGAGTTCCACAGTCGAGAGGGCGATTGTGCGTATGGTGGTCGTGACGGGGACCGTGATGCGGACACTTGCAGGGGGGAGAAGGAGACATCGGCGGTTGCTAAGTGGTGGGTGCAGTGGGGGGACGGTGTGCCTCTGTTGCAGAGTATCGCGGTTCCCTTGATGCACACGTAGATATGTGTCTCTCTTGCGGAGAGGAACTGGGCTGTCCACGAGCGCATTCAGGTGAAGCGGCGAAACAAGCGGCGAACTGGGCTGTCCACGAGGGGGGTGGGGTACGTTCTCCCATGGGAGGACGAGGATGTTGTCACGGAGGAGGAGAGCCTGGAGCCACGTGACTCGGGAGTCCGCACTGCGGACAAGGTTACTGATGAGCAGCTGGACAGGCAGGTGCGGGAGGGGCGGAAGGACTCTCTCACTCGACAGGCTGCGAGCGTGGAGAGATATTTTGGCAGGCGAGCGACTATTCTTCTGCCACACGAGGAGGACGCGGTGTACGACCCAGAGCCTGACCCTCTCATGCAGGATGAGATTGAGGAGGAGCCTTGGTTTGATCCTGATGACCTGGATGCGGAGTCGGGCCGGTTATCCGACGATGATGCCCCCCTGTCACAGATGCGACGCGAGACGCGAGGGTCGACCTCGGCCCGTCCTCGTCCTTCCCCTCGCCCGCGGGATGGTGTTGTGACTGGACCTGCAGTGGTTGGGAGGCCAGGTCGTGCAGATGCACAGTGTCAGGGCCTGTCCAATCGACAGCGACAGCACACTTCCATCGACTCCGACAGCGACGACGATGATGGAGGGTACGAGGGCAGCAGCGAGTTTGAGGACGACAAGGATTTCGACAGCGGTGCGGGCGACGCCCCAAGGGGAGCTGGTGAGGGTCGTCGAGACATTGTTGTCGAGGAGCAGCACAATTAGCGACATTCTGCCAGGTTGGCGGAGGAGAGGGGTCGTGGGGCGGGGGGGTCACCCAGGGGTGGAGGATACGGAGGATCGGGGGGACAGATTCCACTTTCACCTCAGAGGGGGAGATCTGAGCCTGGTTGCGGCCTTTTGGCCACTACAGGGGATTTAGCCACGGCGCTCGACTCGTTGTCCGATATTTTGGGTATGTCGATGGGACCTCCACCGACCGCCGGTAATGCTAGACAGACCCCGTTGCCGCGGGCAATACACCCATCAGCCAGGTTGTACGAGGATTGGATACTGACAGGGGTGTCTCGGGCAGTTTGTTGATGGAGGCGGCTCAGGGGATGGAGGGTATGGCCAGCCAGCCCATTCAGAGCACGGGATGTTGTTCTTTTTTCGCCCGTGCAGGATACAGATGTGGAGACGGATGTGGACAGGAGGGACCGAGAGGAGAGACAGCGAGCGCTAGCGCTTGCTCAGTCATGCCCTGTGACACAGGACATCAGAGCGAGTTTGGATGCTGCTCACGCCCTTGAGACGGGCGTCGCACTCGTCGCCGAGACATATGTTCCTGACAGCTGTGGCACGGGGGTGCGGACGCATGGTGTCGATGAGGTTGAGGAGCGGGATGCCTCCCGACCCACGCAGGGCGATGGCAGTGTTTGCAGACCGGGACTTCGACCGATTGGTGGAGAGGATGACGATGTGGAGGGAGGTGGTGATGGGGCTGTCGGTGGAGGGGGTGGACCTTACGGAGAATCTGAGGCAGTCGGTGTGCATGATGGATGCGAGGAGGACAGATAGCCCGTCGGTGGAGGGGAGCAGACGGATGAGGGACGAGGTAGTGCGTATGCTGCAGAAATGCAGCAGCGTGCAGTTGACCCACCTTGCGAGCAGCGAGTCGATTCAGTGGTCGCCGACCACCCTGACGCGCTTGCGGAGGGTATTTTTGTGTTGCCTTTAGGTGGCGCCATGCCCGCTGCAGTTTTGGAGTGCGAAGGTAGAGAGGATCCTCTTACGGATGATCGGCGGGGGCGGATGGAGGATGCCTGTCGGAGAGCTCTGGGAGACCCCCCACCATATGTGCCATGTAGCCCGTCAGTGCCCTCCTCCATGACAGGCGTCAGCCCTCCCCCTTGGTATCCTATGGCGCAAATGGAGAGCATTAGGGCCGCATGCGCGGCAAATACGAGGTCGTGGGATAGTGGTCGTGGTGGATCTGAGAGTCATTCGTCTGTAGGAGGGACACAGCTGGCGGAGGGTAGAGGTTTAGGCAGTCTTTCTCCGCAGTCGCGGATGAAGACCCGGCCTCATGGTTTAGGCTTTGTGAGGAAGGTCACTCAGGCGATGCGAGACATGCAGCTTGGATTAGCTGCCATACCCGCATCTATGAGACCTCCACCGTTGCCGCGAGGGGGGGACGTTGAGGTGGATGCAGCAGGTTGGGGTCGGGGCCGGATTCGCGGATCGCGTTTGGATAGTAATGGGGCCGGCCCTCCGACACAGCGCATTGCTAGCGTGACTGGTGCATCGACACAACGGACGGAGACCGCCGCTGGGGGGGCACGTGCGCTGACCACTTTGACGGCGGACGATCCGCCTCCGACCCGTCCGCCGGATAGAGGAACGGCGGGTCACATCTTGAAGGAGGATGTTTGGGACAGGAGACCACGCGGTCCTTAAGCAACTGATCCGTATTCCTCAGGGACTAACTATTTGGAGATATACCTCGGGGACAGCGAAGGAGGCAGGATGTCCATGGGATTCTGCTAAGAGACATGGCGACAGCCAAGGTGGAGGAGAGAGAGAGAGAGAGAGAGAGAGAGTTGTGCAAGCACAGGAGGCCGCTTGCACAGGGGCGCAGCACCAGGCTAGGCGTGTGGGTGATAGAGTTGTTCGTGGCCGGACGAGGGTGGATGTCGTTGACGACGACGAATGGTTGTTTGTGTGCTCTTGACTTTCTTTTGGTCTGTATATTATATGTGGCGAATTCTCTTTCTTTTAATTAGGACTTCTCATTTTCAGTTATGTGCAATAGTTTGCGTAGATATCGAGCTGCAGGTAGGCAGGATGTACTATAGTGTTTTGTTGATAGTTGGTAGATAATAGACATGTTTTCACACATGTTGTTCATGTCATAGGATTTGGTTTACGTTTTGGTGACGTAGACCAGAGACATTAGACAGCACATGAAAGAGAGAGAGAGAGAGAGAGAGAGAGAGAGAGAGAGATGTTAGTCTCATGTTTTTCTTCCTTATCTTCCAGCTGTCGCTTTTGGATGACCATGCTTCATATTCTGACATTTCGTTTTCACAACATTGTGTTTGCGAGCGCGTTCGTACTCATTTGTGTTTTCCATTGTGATTGACATTGCTTGCTTGAACTCTATGCATGATGAATGACTCAATGCAYGCTCTGATGTCAATTGAGAAATTGAAATAACTGTTGATGTCTGCTCTTCACCTTCTCTGCCAATGATGTGTACCGGTTGTTTGTTTTTTGCGGGATGTTGGGATGTGTTGCATGGCAGCGTTTGAATTGGGGATCGACATTTGTTTTTTCTAGGGGTATCAAATTTATTTTCATGTCGACCCCCTTGCCCCTAACCCCTAACCAGTAAACCCCTAAAACTGTACACCACCAACCCCGCATGCCAACCACCGAATCCTCAACCATAACATAAACCCACACCCCCAACCCAGAACCGTAAGCCCCCACACCCCCACACCACCAACCCCCCAAACCCCCCTGAGCCCACTACTCTAAACCCTAAACCTTGTATGCCTCCCCCGACCTCAAATCCTGGCCCGGCCTAATATCCCCCAGGGGCCCCACATCCCCAAACCCCCAGAACCCCATGAGCCCACTACTCTAAACCCTAAACCTTGTATGCCTCCCCCGACCTCAAATCCTGGCCCAGCCCAATATCCCCCAGGGCCCCAACAT